CAAGAGAGTGGAGGCAGTTAACACACCTCACGCAACTCCAAGAGAGTCAGTCGTTTAGAGAGCTCCAGAGTGGCCGACTCTATCTGCGAACCAGACCGTGCACCTTCCGATTTAGCTGCCGACTGTGATTCTACTGAAGGAAAAGAAAACAACCATATTACCTTGGATCATCGCGCAACGTAGACAGCAAAGTGATCACCAAGGGTGATTGCAGCTCGTTTTGCACTAACTACTCGATGCGGCACGAGCGGATGCCAAGAAAGATCATTACCGAAGTCTAGGTTACTGGAGATGATAGCTATTAATGCAGACAGCGACTCAGTGTGATCTCGATTCTGAAGCGAAGATTAATTTGTTACTCCTCACACCAGCGAATATCAAACCAACGACAGACCACCTCGTCCGCCCGATAACAACACACCATCCACAGTTAGAATCCAACAAGTCTCTTTTCAGAAAGTCAAGAATAGGTAGGAGCAAGGATGCGAAAGTACCTATTCAATCAATCAACCGAGACACCACCTGCTAGCAGAAGTGGGCAATGGATTACCCGTGTCAGATGTGGAACTAATTTGAAGGAGAAACAGCACTGAAGGAGATCTGGTAAAGTGAATCCAACTGACCAGCCTCATCAAAACTCCTACCGACAGTCAAATGGTACCACCAAAAGCAGATTCGTAGGTATATAATACTTGTCATAAGCGACCCAAAAAAGCTTACATGCACCATCTCAAGAAAAATAGATCTCCAAGTCACAGTTAACAATCAGCCTTCTAGGCTATCAGTTCCCTTAGCAAGTGATGCTAAATGTAGCCTAGCTCGACTAGAAATGGGGAAGACGACTAGAGTTGTTTCAACACCCGATGTCCTCATCCACTAGCAGATTGGATTGAAAACGACAGAAGGGTAAGAAGCTGCTCAAATATTTGACATCAACACAGAATTATAAAATCTTAGAGGACGGCGCCTTCTCGCAACAATGTACAGGCACACAAGGATGCATTAAACTCCACAACTCTTCTCAGCCATCAGGAAGATAAT